GAAGATGAATCTTGTCAGTCAAAAGGTAGAGGAGGGAACTAGAGCTATACTGGACTTAATTCTTACCAGCACAGATGAAATGATAGAGGGGGTTGAAGTTGTGGGAACTTTGGGGGACAGTGACCACATAATATTGGAATTCAACATAATGCAGATACAGGCAATAGAACAAAGTCAAACTAGTGCCTTAAACTTTAAAAGAATTAATTTCAACAAACTTCAAACTTGGAAAGGATTCCATAGAACAGGGGTGTCAAACTGCCGGCCCATGGGCCGGATGCATCATGCCAAAAGCACACCCACCCCATTGCCAGCAATGGAAAAAAAGTTGAGATATGTCACAACACATCATGTGTCGCTGCGAGTTTGACCATAGATGAAGATCTTAAAGGGAAAAACAATCCAAGAAACTTGGGAAACTCTGAAAAATGAGATTATAAAAGCCACTGAAAAAGTAAAATAAAAGACCCCAGAAGAAGCCAGCATGGCTACTTAAAGAACCTTCTGATAAACTGGAAAAGTATTAAAAATTGAAAGAGGGACACATAACTAAGGCAGAACACCAACAAATAGCCCAAATCTACAAAAATGAAGTCAGGAAAGCTAAGGTTCAGAATGAATTAAGGCTGGCAACAAATGTCAATAAGAGTAACAATAATGAATGTTTCTTTCAATATGTAAAAACCAAGAAAAAGGTCAAGGAAATGATCAGTCCACTCATGGGAGAAGATGGCAAGGAGCTTATGGGCAGCAGGGAGAAAGTGGAACTTCCATTTTTTGCATTTGTCTTTACACAAAAGGAAAACAATAGTTCAGCCTAACAAAAGAGTACCGTAAAAGACAGATTAGGGATATAAATCAAAATAGGCAAGAAAGTGGTAAGACTTCTGTCCACTCTTATTAAACAAGAGTTCAGTCACTGGACCAGATGAATTGCATCCCAGGGTCCTGAAGGAGCCGACAGATGTGATCTCAGGACAGATGTGATCTCGGAACTGCTGGACTGTATCTTTTGAATATCCTGGAGCACCTGGGAACTACCAGAGGACTGGAAAACAAGCTGACGGTTTCAATCTCCAAAATCAAATCAAATCAACCTTTATATTGTCAAAGTACAACATGGATACAATGAGATTGGCTAAGCCTCCCTTCGTGCACCCCCCCCCAGACACAACTAAGTGACAACAAAAAGGGATCCATGATGCTACAGATCAATCCATCAATACCTGAGAAAACTGTGGAAAAGATAATCAAGCAAAGGATCTGTGAACATCGAGAAACAAGCAAAATTATTACTAGAAACCAACATGGGTTTGTCAAAGACGGATCATGCCAGATAAACCTTATTGCATTCTTTGACAGTGACTAAATTAGTGAACAAGTGAAATGCTGTGAACATAGTATACTTGGACTTCAGGAAGGCACACGACAAAGTAGACCACAACCTTCTTCTTGATAAGATAGAAAAATGTGGGATAGGCAGCACCACCACCGGATGGATTTGTAACCAGCACTCAATGTATTGTCCTCAATGGAAGTGCATTTATTTACATGGAGGGAAGTAGGCAGTGGGGGACCTCAGGGTTCTGTCTTAGGCCCAGCACGCTTCAATATTGGGATGAGGGGATAGACGGGGAACTCATCCAATTTGCAGACAACACTAACGCTGGGGGGAAATGGCCAACATTTTTGAAGATAGACTCAAGATATAGGGGCTGGATTCACACACACACACACACAATGGACCCAGCAACTGTAGTTTCCCAACACACAACATCCTGGCTCTCTCTCCTACCTAGCCAACTGCTGCTCCGGATGCCATCCGCACAGGAGCAGCCAGATTCGGCCCCTGACCCCAAAGGCTCCGCCGGCGCCAGCATTCACACCGTATCCTGAACCCGGGCCGGATTTGCGCAAGAAGCCGAGCCGTCCAAAATAATCACCCCGGTTACAAGGGACCAAATTCCGCCTCTGCCCGACAGCTGCAACTAATACGCCCCCCCCCTCCGCCGGTTCCCGCCTCGCTCGGCGTCCGACTCCCCGCAAGCTCTCCAGCCTCGCCCTCCCCGCGCCCCGCGGCCGGACCTGGCGCTGACCGAGGGCGCCGCGGACGACGCGCTTTCGGGGCCGAGTAGCCGCCGGGCGCCCTGCGGAGGCCGCGTCAGTCCCCGAAGACGCCGCGGACCCTCGGCTGCCCCGCCCCGCCTCGCTCCCTCCCTGGCCTCCTCGGGAAGCCTGCGGAGCCGGAAAGACCCGCACGGGTCCGCCGCTGGACCCCCCCCCCTCCGGGGCAATGGAGGAAGGCCACGCCCCGCCCCTTCCCCAAGGGCCGATCGTTCACTCCACTGCTCCCCCCCATTTGTCCTGCTCAAGTTTCTGGCTCCCAGAGAGGGGCACAGTCACTGCCGGCCCCCAGGCCCGCTGGCGCTTGGAAGGGAGCCCAGCCAAGCAAGGCGCGCTGTGTGAAGCCAGGCCTGGAAGAATCCACTGCAAGTGGAGTCCCAGGAGATGGGTTTTTTTTTTCTCCCTTCCCTCCAGCTGGAAAGCAAGCATGTCAATAAGTCCAGCCCCCATGAAGAAGGGCACCTGCCCAGGTGCTTTCCCTACAGGAGCCAGCTGGACACACACACACACACACACACACACACACACACACACACACCCTCCTGACTCTGCCATGGGACTCAGCCAAACTTCCAACCCCTGGTCCTATGCTTAATGCAGCTGCTGCATTCCTCACTACTGCCAATTGACTGGACCGGAGGTCTTAATGGGATGACAAGGGTCACTCCTGCAGCAAGACAAGGGGCAGGTTCTCCCAACCGGCCAACTCTGCCTGGGCACAAAAGGGAGGGAGGGGGCAGAGCCCTGGCACTGTGTGCAAAGAAGCCAACTTGGCTGGGAGGCTGGATGCTCCTTGGGGAAAGGAGCACAGCTGGCTTGAGTACAAGACCAACAGACCCACAAAAGTTTAACCAGCAGCAATTTCTGTTTAAAAAAGAAAAACAGACAAACAAATTAACATGTCAGTAATTCATTGTGTAACCAGAACAGTGGCCCTGGATGCCCAACTGTCCAGCAGGGAACGGGGTGCAAAACACCCCCCCCCAGGTTCCCCCATAGGCTAATGGGAGCAGCAGAGCCACCATTACCAGACAGGCAGATGCTCCCTACCCAGCATCCTTTGGGGCAGCCCCTGAGGAGCCTGGCTCCGTGTGCCAACAGCAGCAGTGGTTGCAAGGTACATGATCCTTCTGTGACATCACGGCCCATTAGCCAATCGTCAGGGCCTTACAGCAGTGAGACCAATCTCACTTAAGCTGTGGCAGGGCAACTGCAGTGGGGGAAAAGTTAAAATCACTTCATTAAAATTATGTTAATGAAAGCTAAATATAATGACCATGTTGTGCCCCATGGAGACAGGAAATATTATCATCCAGTGACAATTCTGGAGCATTGGACCCTGGCCCTGGGCATCCGCGCAGGCGAAATCTGCAACTAAGAGAGCAAACTCCTGCCTGCGTCCCCTGGATCAGAAATAATACACACCGGTGTGATGGTCTCTGGTCCTCCCTGCATCAGCCTCCTAGAGCAGTGTTTCTCAAGCTTGACAATTTTAAGGCATGTGGACTTCAATTCCCAGAATTCCACAGCCAGCATTGCTGGCTGTGGAATTCTGGGAGTTGAAGTCCACATGCCTTAAAATTGTCAAGCTTGAGAAACACTGTCCTAGAGATTGTGAACCATAGGTTGCAAATGCAACAAGGCACCTCGCTGGCTGTCAGCGAATGCAGCTCCTCTCTGCGCCCAGGCGTGGGGCCCTTCTGCCCCACATGCTTTGCAGGCTCAATTCTTTCTCTCACTCAACCAATTCTCCCGCTTCGGTGTCAGCCTGAATCACACTTTAATCACACGGTTTGTGATTAGCTGATTAGCTCTGGACAAACTACCACAACAAGCACAGCCATTCTCTGGGGAGCTTCAGCTATAGAATTGCGGATTTTCACGATAAAACCTGCCTTTCATTCTGCAGGAATCACTTCTTGCCTCCAAAACAGAGAAGGGCCAACCAAGCAGGAGCCACGGAGGTGATTTCAAACTAAGGAGTTGTTTACATGCCTGCTGAGCCCGAACCGCCGCCCCCCCCCACACACACACACAAGCACTCCGGAGCGCCTCTGCCTCACACCCGCAACAGAACCAACACACCCGCTGAGGCTCGCCGTTGTCAACAACACCTCCAGCGGCCTCCGGGCCTTGCGAGGCTCCAGCCTTCCCGCCCCGGGCTTTGGGGGCAGAGTTCGCGGGGAAGCGGAAAGCGCAGCGCAGGCCAGCCCCGCCGCTGAGCTCTGGCCGCGGCCCTCCGGAGCGACCGGGCCGTGGCCTCCCTCCGCGGCCCCTCCTGGCCTGACTCTCCCTGCGGCGCTCCCTCCCCCGGCGGCCTCTCAACGGACAGGCCGGGCCGCTGCCGGCTTCGGGGAAAGCGGCTAGGCGAGGGTCCGCCAGGCGGAAAACTGCGGCCGGCCCGGGAACAGGGCGGGCAGGCGAGGCCGGAGCGCGGCAAGTTTGACGCGGGAGAGGGAGCGCCGAGGGGCGGCCGGGCGGCTCTTCCGAAGGTCCCGGCGGCGCCTCTCGAGCAGCCCGGGAGGACCCTCGGCCAGGAAGGTCGCCCCCTCCGGCCGGGGCGTCCAGGAAGCTTCGGCTCCTCCGCGTCGCGGGCCACTTCGGCCTCTCGCCCGCGGTCTCGCCTTGCCGGGGGCCCGGGACTTGCAGACCCCCGCGACGGAGCCCGCACGGCGGCGGCGGCGGCGAGGCCTGGCGCCCGACCGAAGCTTCCAGCCGCGCGGAGAAACGCGCCGGGCCGCGCAACTGGCAGAGGCGGCCGCTCCCGCTCTCGCCGCCGCCGTCCGGCCCGGGGCAAGAGGCGGCGGCTGCCCAGCGCGCGGAACTCCCGGGTGTCCCCCGCCCTTCTCGAGAGAAAGAAGCCAGCAGCAACTCACCCAGCGGGAGGAAGTGTTTGGTGTCCATGTCCGCGGTTTAACTCATGCCCAGCGGCGCGGCGTGGAGGTCGGCGGCGGGAAAGAGCCGAGCCGAGGCGGGGAGGGGGGCGGTGCGGAGCCCGCCGAGAGAGTCGCCCGCCGAGAGAGCCAGAGGCGCAGGGAGGCGGATCCCGGGGCGGCCGGCTGGAAGGGCCCTTCCGCGTCTCTCCGCGTCGCGCTGGCGGGTGGGGGGGCCGGGGCTCTCCTCCCCCCTGCCGCCGCCGCCGCCGCGGCTCTGGCGCCTCGCTCCCTCCCGCGCCCCCTCGCAGCCGAAGGCGCGTCTCGAAAGGCCGCCGGAGGCAGAGCCGAGAGCAGCCCAGCCAGGCCACGGAGGGGCCGCAACGCCGCGGCGGAGGGAGTTGGGAAAAGTCGCCCAACAATGTAACTCAAGTACAGGACTTGTCTCGCTGCCTGCGCGCGCCCGCAGCTGGCGGTCCGGGGGCGAGCGAGCTGCGAGGGCGCGCGCGCGCTCCCCAAGCCCGGAGCCGCCTGGCGAAGGGGCCCGGCGAAGGGGGAGCCCGACGGCCGTCCGGCCTCGGCGACGGGGCGGTGCGCGGGGCCGTTCTCGGGGCGGGGGCTCCCGGCGGCCCTCCCCGCGCGCCCAGAGGACCGGCTTTCCCGGACGGGCTCGGGCGTCTCCGGCCCGGGTGGGCGACGCCTCGGGCCCCAGCCGCAGAACGGGGGCTTCCTGGGGGAGGGAAACGGCGTGGAAGCCGCCGGGCTCCCGGACCCGGGCGGTCCGCGATCGGCTGGAAGAAGTTCCTGGGGACGGGGGGGGGACCGGCGGCGGGTCCCGCGCGGAAGGAAGCCCAGTCGCCGGAGCCATCCGGGCGTCGCGGAGGGCGGGGGGCGAGCGCCGTCCCCCTCTCGGCAGTGCTGTGGCCAACCGCCCGCGCCGGGCGAGGCACGGGGCAGCGGTCTTCCGGCGGCGGCTGCTCTCGCTCGCTCCTGGCCTGAAAAGCGAAGCCGGGATGGGATTGTCGGCGCTCGCCCGGCGCGACCCCCACCTGGCCGCCCGCAGCCCGGCGCAGGGAGGGACCCCGGGCCCGGCTGGACTTGGCGTCGCCTCAAAAAAACAGCGCGGGCGGGCGCGCACAACCACAAGTAGACCGAGGCGGACGGCCGCCCGACCCCGGATGGCCATTGGCTGCCCGGAAGGACGGACCGAAGCCTTGAGCCCGACTCGCCCCCCCCCCGCCGCCCCGCTTATTCTAGCGGGGAGCGGCGCCTCTGCTCCGGGCCTCCAATCACAGCCAGGGGGCGGGCCCTGGAGCGCGCACGGCCCCAGTTTTGGGTTCGTGGAGGGGACGCGCGCGCGCGCGCGCGGGCGGCAGAAGCCCCCAGAGACGCGGGCAGACGGAGCTGGGAAGCCGGGAACGGGACTTGCTTAGGGGGCCGCCTGCCGAGCAAGCGCCTCGTGTGGGCGGGCAGAGTTGTGCGAAGAGGATGACACGTTTATAGAAACATCTGCGAGAAACCTCGCGAGGATCCAGACATTCTCAAGATCCCCCATCGCGATGGCGGTTGCAGAGCCTCCTAGGATTGAGAGGAATAGCCAAGTCAAGTGGGGGGGGGCGGCACCCCTTTCCCATTCGACCGGCTAGACCCGTATGGCTAATAGCCAAGGTCACTTTGGAAAGGACCCAAACGCTGCAGCAGGACCACCGAGGGATTTATTTATTTATTTATGAGACTTCTATACCGCTTTAAGTGCGAGCACTCTCTAAGCAGTGTACGCCAGTAAACAATGTATATATATAAATATTTACATTGCCCCCAACAATCCGGGTCTTCATTTTACCTACCCCGGAAGGATGGAAGGCTGAGTCAACCTTGAGCCGGTGAGATTTGAACCGCTGACCTGCTCAACACAGTCAGCTAAAGTGGCCTGTAGTACTGCACTCTAACTGCTGCGCCACCTCGGCTCATTTTATGGCCTTGGGGTGCCAAGCAGCGGCAGCCCTGCTTCTGTGATGTCTCAGGGACTGCCCCATCTAGAGGGCAGAGCAGCGGTCTAGCACTGCAACAATGAGGACTTGTATCACTGTCACCAGACAACATGGCTGGCACAACACGAAAAGGTACCCAAGTGAGTGTCGTTAGGACAGTGATGAAGCCTCACTCCAAATCAGCAGGTGACCCCTTGGAGCAATTGGTATGGATTTAAGGGACCCCATATGAGAACAACCAGGGGCCCCACTGCTGAACCCTGACTACTACCTGGAACTGACCACTCACCCAAGGAAAAGCAGGACCCTCGTCAAGGGACACCCAAGCCTTTCAGACTGGGACCCTGAATACCCAGGACATCATGGTCGGTGGTACTGAAGGCTACACAGAGATTCACAAGGAACTCTCCAGCGCCTTCTCCAGAATCCACCCCCTGAACAACGGGAAAGTTGGAAGTTAGAACATAGAATAATAGGGTCGGAAGGGACCTTGGAGGTCTTCTAGTCTAGCAGTCTGGATGGATGTTGAGTCTTGAGAAGATTGAGGTGGAAACCTGAAACTGTTCTTCACATCACTGAAATAACGTCACAGGGGTAAAGTTTAAGACCTGCCCATTCTCATTCCAGGACACAAAACATGAGTTTAAGTTCCACGATGCAGTTTGGATGATGAAACTGACCCAGAAGCTGGTGGGTTGAAGACTCGGGCAGGCAGCCATGTGTCAGGGAGCCTCCAGGGCAATTGCCGCTCTTGGGTGCTGTCAGTCAAGGAAGCTAACAGCTGAAGACATTGAGCTACACAGCGCTAAGCTTAATTACACACCTGTACAGGACAACATGTTCTTCTGCTTTTCCGGGTGCCCTTGTTCGCACACACTTCCTCCTTTGGCCTGCTGATTGTCTTTCGCTGCTACCTTTTGAGGAAAGCTGTAGAATGGACCAGCTCTTTCTTCATACATAAACAAAATTATGGACATAACACCAATCTGAAAATTATCAAGAGAAGATCTAAACATTTATCCTATAAATTAAAGAATTCCCCAGAATATTGATCAGATTGTTCCTACGTGATTTTTCTTGTCCTTTTGTGGAAAAAAGTTCAAAAGCTGACTCATCCCACACACTAGGGGTTCACGGTCCTTTGAAGTACCCTACTTGGGGAACTGCTCCCTTTTCTTGATCACCCTCACATCTGGGAGTACTGCTAAAGCAGAAAAGATGCATTTGTACTATTAATGACCAAGCTCAACTTACATGGGGAATCTTGTGGATTTTAGCCACAGAAGAGCAGGTCCAAACCCAACGAATTGGTCTTCCAGTCTCTGAACTGCATCTCCAGAATTAAAAGGGTTGCCTTTAACCTCTGCCCAAGCCAATGCATGAATGGTGCGCTCTCTTTTGTTAGGAAGCAAATGTTCAGATTAAAAGAACGGCAACTTGGGGCAACTTTACCTGGTAGAAACCCTGAGCTCAGGCTAAGCAGGGCCAGTCTAGTTATACTAGGATGGAAAACCTCCAGAAAATTCCAGGGCAGTGGCTGTTCTTGGGAGGAGCCAAGGGTGAACCTCACCTTTATGGTTGCCAACAGAAGAATGGGTGGGGTGTCCATAAAGTCACCAGGAATCAAGCTGAACTTGGAGATGTTTACCTTTAATCACCTGATTGGAAAGGAGATAATCATTTCCAAGTCTGCATAAATAATTTAAGTCCGTTTCATAATCTTCCTTCAGCAGCATAGGAGCTCTGAGCGATTCCTCCCAAGCTCTGTCAACTGAAATCAGGAGTCGAAAAACAAATGCTTCAGTTTAATACAGGTAGCCCTTGACGGTTCATTTAGTGACCATTCCAAGTTACAACAGCACTGGAAAAAATTGACTTATTACCACTCCTCACACTTATCATGGTTCAGACGCTTGACTCACAATAGTGAGGGTTGCAGGGTCACGTGATCCCCTTTTGCGACCTGACAGTCAACAGGGAAGCTACATTCCCCTAACAACTATGTTAGGAACTGCAGGGATTCACTTAACAACTGTAGCAAGAAAGGTTGTAAAATGGGGCAAAAGTCACTTAGCAAATTTTGGGCTCAATTGTGGTTGTGAGTCAAGGACTAGCTGTAGCAAGAGATGGCCCAAATGCCCTCTCTTAAATAAACCATATACTATTTTATGTTGTGAAGCTGCCGAGGCTGGCCCGGCAGTTGCCAGAATCAGCAGTGACTTGAAGGCATCAATAAATAATGTTGTGAAAGGCACAAGTGACACAATTTTTTTTAAAAGCAGATTTTCTACCTGAAATGTAATGATCTGTAATGTAAGCTTTCCTAAGGTTAAATAATTTTATGGCCCAATATTTTACACAGATATCTTTGGTGTTAAGTGCTATACAGTTATTGAAACTGATCCCAGAACAAATGTGCTTGTCCAATATTTGCTAAGGTTTTACTGGAGACTAGATTTTGAAGAAGCAGGATAGGATAGGATTGTTCAAAAAGTTCAAAAACTTTTGTTGGAGAAGACTCCCGTGGACAACCAAGAAAACTTACTGATGAATCATCAAACACATCAACCCAGAAGTTCTCCGGTCCAGCCCCCTGCTTTTTAAGAAGAGATGGTTGCCCAATCTCGTCTTAAAAACTTCCACCCACAACTTCTGGAGACAAGCTATTCCATGATTAATTGTTCTGTCAGGACATTTCTCCTTAGTTCTAAGTTGGTTCTCTTTGATAGGTTTCCATCCATTGCTTCCTGTTAAGCTTTCAGGTGCTTTGGAGAATAGGTTGAGTCCCTCTTCTCTGGAGCAGCCCCTCAGATATTGGTACACTGCTATCATGTCATTCCTAGTCCTTGTTTTCACTAGACTAGACGTATCTAATTCCTGCAATCGTTTTGTCATATGTTTTGGGCTTTAGCCCCCGAATCATCTTTGTTGCTCTTCTCTGTACTCTTTCTAGAGTCTCAACATCTTTTTTATATCGTGGCGGCCAAAACTGAATGCAACATTTCAAGTGTGGCCTTACCGAGGTATTATAAAGTGGTATTAGCACGTCACACGCTCTTGATTCTGTTTCTCTGTTAATGCAGCCTAGGACTGCACTGACCTTTTTTGGCTGCTGCCACACCCGGTTGGCTCATACTTCAGTGATTGTCCACTTAGGACTCCCAGATGCCTCTCACAGACACAAGTGTTGAGCCAGGTCTCGCCCCCTGTTCGGCCTGTCTGTTAATTGTGATTGTGACCAGTGGTAGTTTCTACATGTGTCAGTTCTGAACTGCTCACCTCCCATCCTTCACTGGCCGAGCCAAGCAGTCTCTGGGGAGGGGAGCCCCTTCCTCTGGGGGGGGGGGGGAATCAGGACTAAGGGAGACTGTTAAAAGGCATAAGCTTTCTTCATATGATCTTACTAAATTTCAAAAACATGAATAAAACATAAATAAGGAAGAAAAAAGAAAGTAGAAAAGAATGAATCAGACAAAAAGTGAGATAAAAGTGTGAAAGAA